ATTACATACATACACACATTACATACATTAGATACATACATTACATCATTACATTACATACATACATACATAAAAATACGACCTTGGCTCCCAGGTCGACCCAGCGTTGAGTGGGTACCAGGTGCAGTAGCGAGAAGTAAAGCCGACCATATCTCCGACCAAATGCTGATTGGTTCATAAAATATAGGTTTCACCCTATATGTACAATAACCCCGAAGGCGTGCAAATCTGACCACGGGTTCTTTATCTATCTTTTCTCTTTAACTTACTGTGTTCGGGAATTTCCATTGCTAGCGCGTATAAACACAGCAATCGTGAACGCCCTGTTACTTCCGTTTTAAAATTCAATACGCGCAATGTAAAACGGTTTCTGGAATCAGGTACAGATTACATTCTGCATACAGATGTCCGCAAGGAGGTTACAGTGATAATAGGGAAGAAGAAAACCTTTACACAAACCATTTACTATTTACAGTTAATATAAGCTACAAAGAAATCCCAGTGCGAATAGAGGACTGTTTCACAAAACAGATTCAATGACCGCATGAAATAGATATCGACGTTATGGCTTAGGTTAAAAAGAAGAAGAAGAAGCCAGTTGTTTTACTTACCTAACGCTACTTACAGCTTTTAGTAGAGACATTGAGGTCCCCGTCTTCTTAGCATTCACCGGCTGTATACTCTGGAAAAGACCGTGTCATTCGTCCACTTTTGGTAACAGTGAGAACGGAGAAGGAGAGATCAACGCATTTTACCCGGAATTATGAGAAACTCGATTCTGGTGAAACATTTCAAAGTTAGTTTCTTTGTCATTAACATCGTCATTGTATTCGTCTTTCCTTTTTTTTTAAACTCTAACTTCTTCTTCTTCTTCTTCTTCTTCTTCTTCTTCTTCTTCTTCTTCTTCTTCTTCTTCTTCTTCTTCTTCTGCTCCTCCTCCTCTTCTTCTTCCTCTTCTTCCTCTTCTTCCTCTTCTTCCTCTTCTTCCTCTTCTTCCTCTTCTTCCTCTTCCTCTTCTTCTTCTTCCTCTTCTTCTTCTTCTTCTTAAATATTAGTGATATAGGGTGTACTAACGTTTGGTACAGAACAAAGGGGACATTTGATGAAAAATTAGACGAAATATTTTATTACAATTTACCGAATTAATAGCATTTGTTTGCATGCGATTTTAGTCGCCCAATTGAAACCTGTCAACACTGCTTGAAATTTGGCTGCACAATTTAAACAGCGAACTGTTTGTCCAGTTCGCCTTGAGAGGTTGCCTGACATACTTTAATTTCATGCGAAAGTATTGGCTACATACCTAACTCCCAAGTCCAGTCACATCCTTAGTGCAGTTGTGTGTGTCGTTCAACCCCACGAGGAACACACACCGAGCGACCAACATCCATTGACATAAAGTACCACCATTCGGATGAGAATTACCTGAGCACAAGTCCCACTAACCCAGTTCAACCGTTAGATTATACCATGGCCCCAGACTACAGGTGGTATAGAGCTTTATACGTGTAATAAGGAAAAACAGCGTCCCACACAGGGACGGGAATCTTTTTGTGCATTCACTCCGCCTTCGCAGTTTAAACTGTTACATGAAGGGGATATGAGCAGTCCCGAGCTGTTGATTTTCTTAGTACCATGCAAGTCTTTATAATATAGCCGCTAATGCGCGCTGTCAGATGTAAGGTTCAAACTGTGTGTTGATTTCGCTGCTTCTGCCGTCCTCCTTACGGCGCCGCTTGCTGCGGCCGCATCTCTGTATCATAGCATGGCAGGGTCTTGTATATGAGATTTTCTGTTGTCTTCCCATTAGCACTGCGACTGTGTGTGTGTGCGTGCGTGCGTGCGTGTGTGTGTGATTGTGTTACACCTTTAAATCCTGTCGGTTTGCCTTCGAAACTGAGATCAACTGATCTCAGAGTGTCAAATTTTTCAGGCAACAGCCCTAAGCGGACAAACGGCAAGTAACCCCCAGCCATAAAATTATTTCCGTTGCTACTTCACAACTTCAGTGAATATGTGTTTTCCAATGGTTTTTGGTGACCTCTGTAAAAGGGTTGTTTTACCCACAAAAGGGTCGACCCACAGGTTGAGAACCGTTGGTCTAGTACAGCTGTGCTGCGGCTGATACTCGCGCTGCCTGTCCCTAAAAATACATTATACGCTAAGGAAGGCACGCCATGTAAAGTGATACATTTAAGATCAACAGTTGTGGAACATGCATTGCAAACAGGGGAACCAAGCTTGCAACAACAAGTTGGAAATAACCATCAGGGAGCCTGGCTACCAGCTGGTGGAGTTGGGACACTGTATACGAGTCCGTCCTGGAGAAATCTTGATTGTCACGTACTGGTGAAATATATTCTGTCTTCATGCTGCTATTTAAGGAAGAAGAAAAAATCGGGAAACGGAATGAATGAACATAATTTAAATCTAGGGCACTCAGGAAAGATTAGATAAACAAACAAACAATTAATAGAAAGGTAGCGATAGTATAGTGTGA